CCAACCCAGCCCCCACACAATCCAGCCCCAACCCAGTACACAATTCAACGACACGATTTTGGTGGTGAAGAAGAAGACCTGGTTTTATATGACTTTCAGGCCAGTTGTAAGTGTTGATATTTAGACCCCATTCTATATTCATTTGAAGTAGTGAAAAAATATTGTTTTGTTTTGGTCTTACAAAGATTAAAGTTCTGTGAACCTAGGGTTTGTCCTTGTCACAGATGCTAATAATCTGTATGTACTCTGCATTTGGTGTATTTTTGTTTTCTTCATAGTCAGACATTGTATTATATTAAAGGTGCTGTTTTTTTTGCAGCTTTTGAACCAGATTTGTTTCTTAACGATCCTTGCTTTCAATATTTATTTAACGATGAAGGGCAAGAACAGGCGAGTGGTGAGATCAGACAGAACACAGATGTGAAGTGTTCCATGCACATAAACTGATGTAAACCTGATGTAACTATGTCTTCACATACATTAAGTCTCTGTGAAGTGTGTGAAATAGACAGTTATTACATGTGAGCTCGCTGAAATCTAATGTATGCGTTTTAAGTTTCTTTTTACCTTTACAAGACCCCAACATATGTGATAAGATTCTAAAGATGGTGTGTGTACATAAAGTTATGTAACTCTGTCGTCACATACATTAAATATCTGTGAAATGGGTAAAATAGACAGTTATTCTCTGTGAGGGCTCTGAAAGTAAAAGATTGTAAATCAGTCATAAACTAATGTAAATGAGTCATCACATACATTAACACATTGTGCATTAACAAGTACAAATTCCTGATTATACAAGCCCCATTACAAAGCTTTCAAAAAAAATCTAAAGTGTTTCCCCCAAAAACACATTACAAAGCACATAAACCATTACAAAGAGTTTCACAAAAATTAAAGACCCCTAAAATTGTAAAGTAAAAATGCTAAATATTGGGTGTGTTTCTTCCACGCCATAACCTAGCTGCAAATTGACATCGGAAATCAGCCATGTGTTCAGAACTGCAGTCCGGGCTTAACAGTAAGCCCACCAACAAATACTCTAGAAATGCAAGCACCATCACTCCACAATTGTCACACCTGCAAGGGAATGATCCAGAATTCATCGTCTGGTTGATGGCTTCACGGTTGTCAGAACAAACTGAGTATTGAGCTCCAAAATGAGCACTAACAGGGATTAACAAAGACATCATCTGAAATGAAGTTCATATAACAGCAGTTAAATATCTACACAGACAATAATCATATATGAAGTTGAATTAACAGAATTTAATGTTCTATGCGAAACAATTCACATAAAGTAAGTAAAAATAACAAGCAAACCTCTTTCACAGACAATAATGTTATATGAAGTTCAATAAAGAGAAGTTAATCGTCTATGAGATACAATTCACAGAAATCAAGCAAAAATAACAAGCAGACCTCTTTCACAGACAATAATGTTATATGAAGTTCAATAAAGAGAAGTTAATCGTCTATGAGATACAATTCACAGAAATCAAGCAAAAATAACAAGCAGACCTCTTTCACAGACAATAATGTTATATGAAGTTCAAATAACAGAACTTAACCATCTATGTCATACAATTCACACAGTAAGCAAAAATAACAAGCATTCAAAGAAACTGGGAATACCTAATTTCAATGAAAAAGAACATCAAACTGAAACTGCATTATGGAGATTTGAAATTACACAAACATACCATTATCAATTCCACAACTACATTAACACACAGTTTAAAAAACACCAAGGAAACTGAAATTATCAGTAGAGAGATCAAGAAAGAGACCAAGGAAAGGGAAATTAGCGTCAGTACCTGTTCCGGCAGGGGTGGGGCTGCCGGCGCTGGTGCTGGAGGGGTTCCCGGGCTGCTGACGCTGGAGCTGGAGGGGTGGGCCTGCCGACGCTGGAGCTGGAGGGCTGGACTACCGCGCGTAATCCCACTCGTAGATGCCGGCTTCGAGACTGGATTGCCGCAGACGGAGAATGGAGATTTGGGAATTTTAGGGGAGGGAGACGAAAAGACTAAGAAAAAAGGAAAATTGAAAAAAAAAGTTAAATATATTGGGTGGCATGCTTGGAGGCACATGTGGTGCCTCTTTAGCATTTTCCTACTTTTTTTCCTCTCCCCCGATTCTCACCCGTGCTCCCCCCCCCCCCCAATCCCTCCTCTCTTCTTCTTCTTTCTTCTTCAATTTCTTTGAGGCATAATCCTAAATTTGACATTCCTAAGTTTGATGAGATCTATTCTTTTTTGTTACGTTGGGAGTATGAAGGAGGGTTGGGGGTAGGGTGGGTTTGAGGTTGAAGAAGATGTTTGGGTTTGATGTTGAAGATGAACAAGAAAGTATTGAGATTTGTTAATGGAGGGCAGAGTGGTGATGGTGGTAGGTGGGGGTGGTTGAGGTTGAAGTTGAAAAAAGAAGAATTGTTTGGATAAGAGGAGGGCAGATCGGCAGGGGTTGGGTGGGAAAATAGAAGGAAAGTAAAAGTAATTTTAATTTTACATTAAAATCTGTGTCAAGTCAAAACGAGAAGTTTCAACTTGGATAGAGAAGTATATTATTTTATTAAATAACTAACGAAAATAGATAAAGAAATTTATTAAAGTTTGATACTGTGAATAGTGTAAAATTAAAATTATTATAACAATTGTATTATTTTAAATAATTTGATTATCATATATGATGGTGTAAATTTGACCGGGTAGGTTTGACCGAATCTGACCTAGTCAAATGAACTCTACCGGGTAAGGAAAGTACATTAGAGTAAGAACACAAGAGTGAGCTAGACCATGAAAGAATTCTTGTGCCCGAACTAATATTTCTTACTCTGTCTAGAGAGCATACAAGTTTGTAACACCCCAACCTGCATAAACTGGGTAAACGGATTAGCGAACTGGTTTGCTACTAAATTGGAATCCAAACAACTTAGATTCAAAACAACTTTTAAAACATCTAATCCAAAACTTAACATCCATGAGAGTAACTAAAAAACATTTCGGAAGTCTTTAATAAAATCTCAACAACTTTGGAATTCAACCCATAAAAATAACAAATAGTGCTTAAAACAATAATTAAATAAACAAGTCTTCAACTGCAACCACGCACATTTCTTTGCCCTCATCATCCTCTAGGATTGGCCCTCAGGTTCACCATGATCATGATTACCTACGTGCAACAAAAGAACAAACGCTACATGCTCAGTATTGAAGTTAAGTGAGAAATACTTGAGTATCTAACATTCAGTTATACATATAGATGAGCTCACTAGTTCATAACATCACGCGATATCATGCATTCAAGCAGTGGCGGAGCCAGGAGTGACTTCATGGGGGGGCACAACTCATTCAAAAAATAACAAAAAATTCTCATGATAGTAACAACCTTTCATAGGTAAAGCATTATTAACACACTTTTTATTTGTGCAATGGAGAAAGATTTTTTTGAGGTCGTAAATTTTTTTTTGAGATGCCAACTTTTAAAAGCATTGCATAATGACTTTACCATTGATGCTCATAAAAATTAAAAGTTTAAAGCTATAATCTAAAATTAATTTTAAAAAAAACTCATCAATACTATAATCTAAAACTAATTAACCAAAAAACCCCATCATGTGTAGTGTAGTCGGGCGAGTTAGCATACCACGTCTTATTCTTA